CGTTTTAGCTGCACGCGAAAAAATCCTTAATCGTCAAAAAAAGTTTTGTTTAATATATAATGAACAATTTCAATTGATTTCATTACAGTATTTAATCGGATTAAATTCTTTAAAAAATTCTAGAAAAGTAAATTCATTAAAAAAAAAAAGTTAATTGCCAGCAAGCATTAATGACAAATCCACATTTATATCTTTAATATCTTTAATAATTGCCACATTTATATCTTTTAAGTCTAAGTTATGCGTAGATGACTCGTTTAATTTTTATTAACTGATTTTAATAGTTAATTCTCCAAATTTTACATTTTTATTAAAATTTATATTCCATAATTGATAATTAATAATTATAATTTTTGTTTCTCTGAAAACTAGGATAGATTATTTAAGTTGAATTGAGAAGTTCGCATTGATCGTATTTGATTAGTATTAAACTTTCTCCTCTCAATCTGGAAATACGCTTCGAATAAATTTTAAGAATAATAGAAAAATTTTCTTTATTAAGAATCTTTCGAGGTAATTAAACTAGCATATTTTCTCATATAACATTTAATTTAAGAAATTCTATTGAAAACAGAATTTTTTAAGAACTTAGAATAGATGATAGAGATAGGTTAAACAGACGATTACGAATTTATGATTTTTTACTTCTGGATTTTCTTATTGAAATTACTTTTTTTTTAATTAGAAAGTTTATTTTCGTTTATTTAATATAAAAACAAAAGGTATGCTTCAAATTTGAGTTTAAATTAAAAATTGCAATACATTATTCTTATCTCATATTTTTATTGCAAATTATTAGAAAATTATTTCAAAGATTAATAAAAGCATACACACACACACACACACACACACACACACACAAGGTATAGTATAGGCTAAATATAGTGTACTATGTTTACGTTAAAGTGTGCTTGCACATTTCGTTTGAATGTAACCGAAAACTCCTTGAAAACAAATATAATTCTTAAATAGTAAATAACATTTTTAAAAGAATTTATTGGGCAACAATTATGTTGAAAACACCTGATTCAATTATCATACATCATTATATATACGTTTAGGCATTTATTAGAAAAGAGTTACAAGTAATTCATACACCATTTAGTGAATTTAAAAAAGCAGAAATGAATTCAATAATAAAATGGTTACCTCTATAATATTTTAATTTTTTTAATTTGAAAGTTTTGCAATGTTTGAAACTGTGTAATTGGTTTAGAGCTAATAAAATTATAAGACTATTTGAATGCTGAGAAGATAAAATTGTATTCATATTTTAGCGGATTAATTAATTAAAGAACAATTAAAATTTATTTCTTGAGCAGCCAGATTTACATATACAGTACATCACGTAAGACAAAATTTTAAAAAACGTGAAGCAGTAAAGACGTAAATTAGAGAAAAATAACAAAGAAATTTAATTGGAAACAATTCAAGTTATTCAAAGTGGTTCGGATCAAATTTATTTCTGACAACTGTTTTGATTGTTTTCCTCCTCTCATTATTATTTAGTTTTCTCATTATTATTTAGCTCGAAATCCCGTCAGTTACGAATTCCTTAACATGTAAATCTTTATATCCCCGGCCAGGACGAATATCCCGTCAGTTACGAACTGACGGGATATTCGTCCCGGCCGGGGATATAAAGATTTACAAGTTAAGGAATTCGGTTAGTTCGAAATACGGCTACTTCGAAATTCGAGGTGAAAATTTTGTCCGAATTGTGATATGTGAACGTTATCTCGTTCGTTTAGATCTAAGTGCCTCGATACTAAAAGAGAACAATAGAACAAGAACGATCCTAATCTGGTCAATATGGCTTTGCTTCTACAGTAACACTTTCGGGTGTCAACTTACACACACGGTTTTTTAAATCACGTCAATTACATTGCATTTGGCTTATTGTACAGAAACATGTAAATCTCGGATAATTCGAAACTTGATAATTCGATGTCGCGATTATTTTGTCCCTTGTATTTCGAACTAACGAGGATTTCCTGTATCATATAAATATTTCTGTACATTTCTGCTGTTTAAAAATTAACTTATAATAAATAAAATTGCGTAATAATAAATTTATTTGAGGAAATTAAAATAATGTACTGTACAGCGTTTTTGTCATTGCCTAATACATTCGGCTGGCAATCCTTTGTGTTGATTATTGGATAATTTTAAAAATTTTGTTTCATATTAATTTTTTATCTATTTNAGGTAAATAAATAGGTAGGTAAAAAATAATAATTAGGTACCTATTTTAATGATTTATTAAACAGAAAATATTTGTACTATAAATTTGCCAGACTCATGACGATAGATAACTGATTTGCATAATGCTAATGTTGCCAAATATTAGTAGTGACGTACACAAGGGTTGACTATTCAATCCGTTTCTGATCAAACAATTTTTCCTTTCTTTCTTTTTAGTTAGAACATGTTCTAACTAAAAAGGAAGAAAGAAAAGGGTTTGTCCAAAAGTCATTTTACGGTCTTCTGAGCAGTTTCCTTTACTTGGAGATAGGCCACTTCAGTGGGACTGTCTGTAGAATCTGCCAGCTTGATGCTGGTCTCAACAATTGGATGGCTGCTATCTAAATCTAGATGTAATTATGCACTTTCCAAGGGAACTCTAGCTGTCTTCCAGCTTAGTCAAGAGACCTCGAAAAATTGTCCAGAGATCTTTGTTCCTTTGCTTTTAAGGGGATTGTCCGGAGCAGGGTCAGTAACTCGCATTCAGCCTCAGATGAAATTCCTGTGTGATACATTCCGCTATGCTGAGCCCTCCAGAAAAACCAAACTGCTTAAACTGCCCGAGCAAAAGACAAAATTGTCTTGTCTCTGCCAACCATTAGGCTTACACAACATTAGTGTATGTAGTGCCTACATATTTTCGGAAGATTACTAAAATATATCAAAAATTACTAAATTCCTTTTCTGCTACTGTCCCAATTAAGTGTTTAAATTATGTATTAATTTATTAGTTTGATTTCCGTTCTTTGAGATTTGGCCCAATAAAGCAGCTGCCCCAATTAACCAGTGGCTCAATTAAGCAGAATCCACTGTACTTGTAAATTCATTCTTTATAACTTAAATTATTTATTTTCATATTTGCAATCGTTTTACTGTGTTAATTTATTCTAACGTTTTTCCCCACTTCATCTTTTTTATTTTTTACTATTAGTTTTATTTTTATATGGGGAAATCTTTAGTCTCAGGTTTCCTAAAGTAATTAAAATAAATAAGCATTACAATAGGATTGTAAATAAAAAAACTTCTTAATTATCTTATTTATTGTAACATTGTCACAATGCTGGGCTGCAATTTTTAATCATAATTTAAAAATTAATCAGGGCCTCAAATCCTAAGCTTTCCCTATCTGATCTCTATTTTCATCTATCTAATTCCATTCTCAAGATTAACAAAGGACAGACAGATGACAATGGGAATTTATAAATCTGCAATTTTTACATTGCAGCTCAATAAATAAAACATCTACAATCCTATCAGAATGCCAATGGCACTCAGTAGAGAAAATCTTGCCAAATATTTAATTAAATTATTAAATTAGTTAATCTGTTTTAATTATATAATCAAAATTTGGTATATAAATGATTCTTTAAATTCATTGGAATTCAGCAGAATTAACTTATAATCATTGACAGATTAGTCTATAACATGGGTCACAAACTGGCAGCCTGCAGGCTAGACGAGGCCCATTAAGGTATCCTATCCAGCCCACAGCCTCAAAGATTTCTTTTCTACAAATCAATGTTCCTAACACGTTGAGGAAATTAAAACGTACAATTCAAACTTCTGTTTACTTAAGTCATAAAGGCCTAGCAACAAAAGGGCCTTTAAGACATTAATTAAAAAATTAAAGATGCCAGGACAAATTAATACATTACAAATTTTCCACGGTGTTAAAAAGGATGCTAGAAAATACAAAGACACTTTTGCAATACTTCCATACATTAAATTTGTAAAAGTCCTTCGTTAGAGCTTTTTTTTTAGTTTACAGCATAATAATGAATATGGCCCGCATCCAATATATATCTATTTGAATGGTCCTTTGCTGAGTTTGAGTTTGAGACCCCTGGTCTATAAGCAACTAAATATTTTGGCCTCTTTGTGCTCTCTGAGCGGTAATGGGCTTAAAACCACAAATAAAAAAGAAAAAAAAAAAGCAACCAAGTACTAGTGAACTCCCAAACTCAAAGTTTTTAAAATAAATAATTATAAATTAAATTCCATTATTCACTATAAAAACTTTAATGTAACTTAAAAATGTTATGTTTTAAATAAATATTTTTTAGGACTACTTCAAAACTAATCTGAAACTTGATTATTAAAGTCAATAAATTCCATTTATTGACATTGATAATCACTTTTATTAAATGGAACATTTACTAGTGCTTATGGCTTCTAGAGTTAAGTCACTATTGATAATTTTTGTAAGGTAACATTCACATAAACATGTACTGTAATAAATTTTTCTGTAACTTGATATCAAATAAAGGTTTCTTTTAGGTAAGTCACTCATATATACACTTACGTATATTGACCTAAAAGTAACTTTGACCAATATTCATTACATAGAAACACGCACTTTGTTTACTGTTACTCATGTTAACGATTGTCTTATCGTCTATCAATCTTAAATACAGTACTGTATCTCATTGCTATACTGTATTAGATTTCATGTTATTAAAATGGAATTTTGAAGTAACAACATATTAAACAATAACAACATCTAATACTTATGTATTAGATGTTGTTATTGTTTAATATGTTTAAAGCAACATCTAATACTTATGTATTAGATGTTGCTTTAAAATTGGAAATGTGTTTAGCAAATTTTTTGACATAAAAACTTGAACTTTAAACAAGAATCTAACTACAATTTGACAACTGTTCAAAGGCTGAAAAAAATCACTAATCATCAATGAAATACAAATGAATTAACATTAAAAAATTATAATATTAATAAACTTGATGAATGCGCTTACGTCATTACAGCAAATTTCTGGCGCTAAATTCGAAGTAAGAGCCATAACAAAATTCATATGTTTTATACATGAAAATAAATCTTGTTAAACTTTTCTTGTATTTCGGTTAATGTCAAATGGAATAACTGGCATCCTAACATCTCTACACTGGTAACAAAATACGTCACTTTCGTTTTATAAAATATATCAACGACCTCTGGTGTGATTAATTAAAAAAATAAACAAATCAATAAATAATAGATTATTGCTGCGTGGTTTCGACATTTTCAAGTGCTTTAAAAACCTGAATTTCACAATTTATTAAGAACATAACAGTATTGTAATTTTCATATCCACTTATTTAATATATAATCGAGACAGGTTGATAATGATAATAATGATGATAATAATAATAAGCGGAGAGCCCAAACGGTTAGGAGTTGAAAGTTGAAATTTGGTACCCAGTTAGGGTACGTCACGAAAACGCACACTAAGAAGGGATTTTTCGAAATTCCCCCCCCCCGCGCGGGAGAGAAACAGGATTAAGGTTTCGACAATGGAAATGTTAAGTAACAATGACAGTGTTAACAATGGAAGTGTTAAGTAATAATGGAGGAGAAAGCGACGCGCAAGATTTACAGGCTCAGATGCAGTTTTTTCGTTTTTGCGGGAAATCGAACATTTTTTAAACCCATCTAAAAATTCTCTAATTAGTCTGGAAACAGTAGGACCTAATTCTTGCATTCTTTGAAAACGGGTAAGATTGACTATAACTTAACCCACGGTTACGCGCGACGTGTTTCTTACGCACGGTTAGGCGAGCGGGATTTTTTTTATTGCTGTTTCAAAATTCAATTTTTTAAAACTCATAGTTTTTTTCGCGATTTTTTTATTTTGGATGTTTGTGGGCATGTGTTTTTCATGTATTAGTGAAGAAAACTACTTCAAATATATCGTTTTTATTTATTCGTAACGAAAAACAGAAAGTCTCCCGTTTTTAGAAATTTTTCAAAAAAAAATTGGTCAACTTCAAGAGTGTATTTTACAAACTGTAAACAAGTCTGATGCTATCTAAGCTGTCAATCGTCTTCCTGTATGTGTTTTCTAACTATTACAACAATTAAATTCTTTGTACCAAACCCCGGGCCAAAAATATCTCAATATTTCCAAAAATACACCATCTAAAATCATACAGCAAGTAGAGGTAAAAATGGAGATTATTGGAAGATAACATCGATAGTAAACTTCTTTTACACTGTAATTGGTTAATTTACATGTCTGTTATTAGATCGACCTATAAAAACAATTGCTGGAAAGATTCCCGCGAAATGCCACGCCCCGAAGGCTACCACATCGAAGTAGTAAACAATCGCTATAAAATCGCGTGTTTTAATTTTTTTTCCACTTCTACCTTGCTAATAATAAGTCGCTTGATAATATTTAGACGAATAAACATGTTTTTAACACGATTTAGCAATAAATATCGCCAAAAAACACCACCTTTCAAACTTTCAATGTCAAGTCTATGGGAAACTTTTTTGCCGTTTATTGGCTTTAAAAATTCTGTTTTCACGCCTTTTATGCTCTAATTGGTCATTTCTATCATGATTGACTCGATATCAACCAATAAGCGTTTTCTCGAAACTAAATCAGATCCACCCACCTCGGTTAGTCGCGCTAATAAAACTTACTCCGTTAGGCGCGCGGGGTACGATAGTACCCTACTGATTTCCATTGTGGCTCTATGCAAAAAAATTTTTCCGTGCAATTTTGAAATTTTTTCGGTGCGATCTTCACACCATCGAAGGAAGGTACTGAGGGCATCATTTTCAGCACTAAAAACATTAAAAAAATACACGCGTTTAAACACGATGGGGTTCTATATCACCCCGCGCGTTTTTAATAATCTTAATCTTCGCTATCGTTACTTTTTGCCCGAGCAACGCCGGGCCTATCTGCTAGTATGTATATAAGTCAAAGATTTTTACAGCTATTCCTTTTTTTTTTTTTAGAAAATTTTATTACGTTTAGTCAGTGGCGTAGCGTGACAGCCGCCCGGGGCGGAGGAAAATTTCGTCGCCCCCTTATTTAGGTATCTCAATTTAAAAGACTAAAATTCAGTTTCGTCACAGAATAAGTAATGAAAAATTCTGTGCTAGTGTTGCCACCTTTTAAAAATCGCCAACCCGGATCAAGGACTTTAAACTACAAGGATAGCCAGATCCCGTATATTTGTTAGCGTGACCTTGGATCTATGTGACGTCACAGCAAGCCCTCTACTTCAACATGACAGATCTTTCAAATAACAAAATACGATAAAATATTAAATCATTTCTTAATTAATTATTAAATTACTACTAAATGTAAACTACTGTAGAATTTTCGGATTTAATAAGTGTACTGTACGTCAATAAATTTACAAGTCTTTTGTCTAATATTTATTTAACAAATTAATGAGCTATA